TCGAGGCCACTAATTAATATGACTCCTTACTGTGATTAGCTAGCTAGTTCTACGTTTTCCACAAATATATCCATATCTGTCATGTTTGAATAATAATTGCCATGTTGTAAATATTTGTAGAAACTATGGACACCCCCCGAGACGAAGCAACAGAAGCGATGTTGGGGGACATAATCGCAGAGGAAGTGATGCCTTCTTCTCGTTTCTGAAGGACACCGATGGTCTGGAAGGACTGGGTGAAGAAGCAGGCTATGATTATGATGGCTCCTTTGACCCAATGCCGGTGCAAGAAGGAGACCGTGAGGACGGCTCCGGTGACCCAATGACAGTGCAAGAAGGAGACCGTGATGACGTCTCCGGTGACCGAACCGAGTCTGGCCAGGTATATATATTAGTTAAGCCTGTGCTGACTAGATAATTGATGCATTCATTGTTTTGGTATATGTACACATATTAATTAACTCTCGTCTTTCTTCTTTTTTCCAGCCCTTCGGATCGAGCACAACTTCGGTAAGGAGACGAGGCCCGAAGAAAAAGTTAAGCTCGGGTGAAAGGTTTGAGATCACAGCAATCGCGCGCGACGGCGAACCGATTGAACCCATCCGGACAAAGAACACATTTGCTGCTCAGTGGGTTCTTGTTAGGGACAAGATCCCGATCAGCATCCACCAATGGTATAAGCCTAAGGAGGAAGACCCTGAGGTGTCTTATGTCAATGATATGCAGAAAGATGATCTTTGGACTGAGTTGAAGGAAAATTTCACCCTACCGCCAGTGGAGGATCCGGAGAAGCCAGTTATAGAGCAATTAATCAAGTCTTTTGCTCTTAAGAAGATGGCAGGCCTATTCAGGAGGTGGAGGAAAGAGCTGAAAAAGTTTGTCGACAAAGAAGAGACACCAGAATTCATCGGCAAATATGAGAAGATCAGAGATCACTGGCCCGCATTTGTGGCCCACAAGACATCGGAAAAGAGTAAGAATATGTCGGCGACAAACAAGCAAAATGCTGCGAAGAAGAAGCTTCACCATCTCACAGGGTCAGGTGGCTACCTCAAAGCCCGGCCTAAGTGGGCCAAGGCTGAGAATGATCTGCTTGATAAAGGGATCGAACCAGAGACAATGATCTGGCCAGACTGTTGCCGGACTTGGTTCTTCGGGGCTGGCGGAACCTTGGACCCTGTATTAGGGAAGTGCCGTTGGACGGACGAGCAACTGAAAATACCAATCAACAGGCTTCGGCACTATATCGATGCAGCGCAGCAAGGGACGTTCATTCCAGACAGGGAGACCGACGAGCTCACAATGGCCCTCGGGAATCCTGAGCACCCTGGACGGACACGAGGCATGCCAGGCTCCATTCCGTGGAAGGTTAGTTTTCTGGACGTAGGCAGTTACAAATGCCAGGAGAGGAGGAAGAAAGTGGAGCATAGCCAACTGCAGGCGCTGCATGCAAGGGTACAAGGGCTAGAGGAACGAGAAGCAGATCGCAGCAAACGACCTGCCGAAGCTTCCCCCAAAGCTACCCCGCCATCTCAGCGGAGAAGCAGCGTGGCTTCCACCGAGCTGCTTCAGCCGGAGCATGTCTTGACGGCTCTTGCTAGCTACCCCATGGATTTTATCATCGAGTCTCAAAATTACCACCTTATGACGCAATGGCAGAACTTAAAAGTCAAGGCGGTTGTCGGCCAAGTTCGACCTTCTGAACCCGACGCAACTTTTCACTGTCGTCCGATTCCAGAAGGATATGCTAGGGTGACGGTGGACGAAATAGCAGAGGGATTTGAGGACCTCTAGCTTGACCACCCTACCGGTGAAGGGGAGACTCGGCTGGGTTCTGCTCTAAAGACTCCATGCCTATGGCGGAAGGAGTTCATCAAGCTTCCGAACTGGACGCCTCCTCCTCCTCCTCCAGCGAGTCAGGGCACTCCGCCTCCTCCACCGCCTCCTCCTCCGGCGAGTGACGATTAGGGCACCCGGCCTCCTTCTCCGGCGCGTGGCGGCACTCCGCCTCCTTCTCCGCCTGCGCCGGCGCGCCCGAGCAGCCAGCAGCCTCCTCCGTCTCCGCCTCGCCAACAAGGGCGGAAGAGACCCGCCGCCGCCCCTGCTGCTCCGACGCGTCGTAGTACTTCTCCTCCGCCTCGTAAGCAAGCACGAAAGAATATAGACGCCGCAGCCGCTCCGTCTGCTTCGACGTCTAGCAGTACAGCCAGCAGAGGCGGGAGGCAATACAGAGACGGTCCTTCTCTCAAGCCTCTAGAGAAGTTACCGTACGAGAGGACCGAGGAGGAAAATGCGAAGATCATGCGGACCGAAGTGGAGGACTTCTTTAAAGGGTTGAAAGCAAAGAGACATCCACCTCCGGAGGAGAAGGTAGATCCGGTTAAAGCAAAGCGCACTATCGATGCCCTGAGGAAACCACCAAAGTCTCCGCCAAGAACCAACTATGAGCGCATTACTGAATAGGCATATCTCGCAGCGGAGCGGTTGGGAAGTACTGTCAGTGATCAAAGGTTAAAAGAACGAGCAGCTAAGTAAAAAATTGCCCAGCTCGGCGAACAAGCAAATCAATCGTGCCCCCCGCTCAATGTGTCTAGCAGCGACATCGTCGCTAATGCTCCAGGGACGGTGCCCGGTTATAACAATCTTGGAGATTACCTGCTTGATGATGTACATTTTGATTTCTTGGAGGTGGACGAACACAGATACGAGTACGGGAAGCCTCTCGTCAAAGATGAAAAATCTCTAACAATGATGATGCAAAGATTCCATAATTGGTACATGAAAACCTGCAGAGAGTCTGGGGGGACGAATACTTTGTATCTGAGAATTAAAGAGGAGCACGACCTCGTTGGAACTGATCTCTTGACTGTTCCATTTGAGGAGTTCTTCGAGTTCTTCAATCAAAATGCCCTCGGTAAATTAACAATTTTTTGCACTGTCTGTAAGTACTATTTCTGTCATTAAGTCTCTATATATAGCTCGGCTCTTTCATTGCATGTATTTATAATTAATTATCCTCACTATATTATGCAGATTGAAGATCGTCGAGTGCAAAAAACAAGAAATGTATGATATTGGATTCATTAACACAAATATCATAGATGAATTTCTGGTTAAAAAGCACGCCGAAGAGGCCGAGGCCAACTTGCTACAATCGTTGATCAAAAATCAAAACAAAGATTTAATACTCTTCCCTTACAACTTCAAGTGAGTGTTACTGTCGTGTGCATATTCGGTTTTCCTTATTACTCGAGCGAGGTTATAGTAATGTAATTGATGAGTTATGCATTCGTACGCAGCTTCCACTATGTTCTTCTGGAGATTAAACTTGAGCGGGGAGTAGTAACCGTTTTAGACTCGAGACGAAAATATCCCGAAACCTATGCGGACATGACTAAATTGCTCAACAAGTAAGTTCAATCGATCATTATCGCACCATATCGGCAAATTTTTGTTCATCTCCTGATATCTCAAGTAATCATAATTATTTTCTTTGTCTTGCAGGGTTTGGAAACAGTTCACCGCAGAAGCTCCGGGACTGCCGAAGGAGCTGCGATATACATACCCGAAAGTAATTACTACTAGCTAGCTAGTTGCGCGCATCTCCCGTTGATTCTATAGCTATACTTTCATCAATGCCATTTATAATGCTTCATTATCAGTTTGATTGACCTCTATTTCTCGTAAAGTGCTTGTGGCAGGAAGAAGGGAATAATTTCTATGGATACTACGTGTGCGAGTTCATCTACATCGCGACTTTGAAAAATAAGCGGGGCTACACTAAAAGACAATATGAAGTGTATAAGCAATAATATTCACAATTTCATTTTATTACACCATCATTTCTGTTGAATTTCATTCATATATGTATTAACCTCATTCTTCAAATTAGACGTGGCAGATGCGGAATGAAATCCTAAAACAAGATCGCATGAAAGCAATTTCACAGGAATTGGCGGGATTCTTTCTTGACCACGTCATCAATAAAGCCGGAGAATACCATGTGGAAGTTGATTTCAAATGCTAGAAGATTGTAAGAGATCTTACATATTGTATATGTATGTAGCTAGTAGCGTCAGATAGATAATACAAAAACTTGTTGTTCGGCCAATCTCTCGAAGAAGGAGAGGTCGATCGATCACTTCTCTCGGTATGCATGAGAACTTCTATAATTAATGGTTCCCTTCATTTTCTTACTAGCTAGCGTGTCGAGGGCCTCTCTATGTACAGTACGTAGCGTCGACCAAACACGGACATAAGAGAGGACACTTGTCTCTATTAATTAGCTAGTTAACACAATATATGAAACACCTAAATTAACCCCCAACACCCCCCTAAAAAAAATAAAAAACCCAGCCACTGAAATGCTGACGCGTGTATGCCTTTTGGTTCCGGTTGGTGCCACCAACCGGGACCAAAGGCCCTCCTGCCTGGGCTCGGCGCACCGGCCACGTGGAGGCCCATCTGTCCCGGTTCGTGTTAGAACCGGGACTAAAGGTCTAGGGCATTAGTAACGACCCTTTAGTCCTGGTTCAAGAACCGGGACAAAAAGCCCTCATCAACCGGGACTAATAAGGGTTTTTCTACTAGTGAAAGGCCATTGGAGATGGGGTGGATCAGAGTTTGAATGTTTGATCATAAATTAGACCAACATAATATGGGTTATGTGTGACAAAACTTATACCTAAATTCGTATTTGAAAAAGGTTTTCGATGGTATTAATTCTTAAGTCACAAAATATATGTATTATTGGTTCGATTCGTGGTGAAAACTGAAATTTGAAGTGCATGTGCGTCTTATCCATGGCCTTAACCTTGCCCGCACTCTGTGATACGAGTCAGGCCCGTCCCACATACCTAGGTAGAGGGTGCGTGCATACGGGCTCCAAGAATCCACCCTTTTACAGTTTCCAAAGTAGGAAGTATATCGTAACAGCGTTACGTACATACACATAAACCATCTGTTCGGATCAATTACTTTGCATCGTTGATTGCATACATTCACAGGAGGTAGCTACGCAGATTACAGAGACGTGCATGCAAGCAGAGACCCGGCCCTGTGTTACACGTAGATGCTCTCTTAGCCGGCGAGAGCGCTGGTGTTGTAGACGAGGAGGACGCCGCCGCCGAGGAGGCCGGCGAGGGTGACGGCCCAGATAAGAAGCCCGGTCGTTCCTGCATGCGAATATTACGGACGAGGATCAGCTTACTGGTTTTGTCGGAGAATTCGAACGAAATCACTTCTAAATCATCTTCCTTCTCACGAGGCGTTTTGAAGAGAAAAGAAAAATAATCCTCCCGATCTAAAGTAAGTGTCATAATTTTGAACTAAGATTAGTTCAACCTTAGTTCAAGACTGCTGTACTTATTGGAGTAACATTTTCTATCCAAATAAACCCTAAGCTTCTTATGGCTCCTTTGGTTCAAAGGAAAAGTGAAGGATTTTTTTTTCCCATGATGATACTACTCATGCCTTTGGTTTAAGGGAATGTGGCAAATAAAGAATGAGGAAATTTTTCATCTGAACCTACTTTAAAAGGAGAAATGCAGGGATTTTAACATCTACTTTTACCTCCTTTTCAAAATATGCATGAAGAACGAAACTATAAATCTTAGTGGCATAATAATATTCTAACTATACATTTGCATGTGTTTAATTTGATTTAATTGGACCGTTTTTATTAGATTTCTTATGTCTTTTCCTTTCTTGAGTTTTTATAATCCTGCAAACCAAAGGAACCATATACGGGGAATCACATATGACAAATTTCTAGATAGATGTATCTAGTATACCACCAAAATAAATACTATCACATGTATTGGTTGTACTTTTTATCATAGATATATATACGCATGGTCTATGCTTAGTACACGTTTGAATGATTAGCTTAAATTATGTGATTAATATTGTTAGCATTGTCATCACAGATTACTTATTGAGTAATTTTATTAGGAAAATTTGCTAATATATCCAACAGAGTTTTTTTTTGCGGGGGAATATATCCAACAGAGTTAACAAATCAAATAGGATAGTATCTCTCCCATGCATCAAATACTACCTAAACAAGCAGCTCTAACTACATGATAATTCACATAGCCAATAACAAGTTGAGTATATAATGCTTGTTCTGCCCCACAGAAAAATATAATTGCTCTTCTTTCAAGAAAAAACTTTCAACTCTTCTCTATCGGTTATGTAGCTTCGATTTGTGGCTAACTTTTACACTGCCCGGTGAGGCACCTACTTGTACAGTATGTGCTAGAGTAACTTTAATCAGGTACAGGTGTGCATGTATCACAACTGTGTGCATCGATCCGATGCAGAGGCCAGAATTCTACTTGCATAAGCATGTGGATATTGAGTAAGAGGTACCACAAATAGTAAAATTACTCACCGCCGGCGTAGCGGTCACCAGACTCAGACCATTCCTCTGGCGTGTAGATTGGGCTGAAAATTAGCAACGTGAGTAACTGTTAGGTACGGTAATCACGTCACCAATCGATGCCAGATTTACCAAGGTTTACCAAACAATATTTCATTCATTTGTTGGGTTACCTGTAGCCGTCGACGTTGGCACCGTACTTGTCAACAAACTGGTACACGCCCTTCTTGCCGACCTTCCTGCCGTTGGCGTCGATGTCGACTGTCAAGCCGCCTCCGAGTCCTGCGGAGCAACACAGATTTCCTCTAATTAGATCACTGAATCCATCCATCGATCTCATGGTCACCAGAGCATGCGTGTGCGGAAGTGGAACACAACAGTTGGAGGACTCATGCATGCAAGGGGATGGCTGATGACGGACGTACCGAGGGGCTTATCGACCTTGATCTTCTTGCCACCGCTGCAGACGACGGCGAAGGAGGAGCCCCGGCGGGAGAGGGACGGCACGCTCGTCGGCGCCACAATCGGCGAGGTGATCATGGAGGCTGCCATCTCGCGTGCGCTCTCTCAAGTTCTGTCTGTCTGCGCTTGCCAACTCTGTCTGAAGAAAAGCGTCCAGCACTGGCGCAGCGACGGGCCAATATACTCCAGCCCGGGGCGCCCAGACATGCGGCCAGGGGCGCGCGTGGATGGGATAACGCTGTGTGTGACCGGCGCGCCGCTCACGTGGCGGCACGCCTGTGGCCGGCTCGCGATACGTTATCCTCATCGGACCGGTTCGTGTGGAATTTCTAACCGGGAAACAAAGGAAATGTTTGTGGTGACTGCGCGCACGCAATCAGCTACATGTGGTGGTACTCTGCTGCTGCTATGAAGGCACTGTGACGAGAGGACCGTAAGAGCATCTACAGCAGGATACGCCACGGACGCGCCCAGACAAGATAGTGACTAATCACACCTTAAAAAATCATTTTTTTACAACTGAATACCTCAATTATGAAATCTAAAATCCATATAATCCCCCCCCCCCCTGAAATGTTGCTCCGATATCCTGCGAGGTGGGGTAGGACATGAGACACCCACCGGCTCACGGGACTCAAGGCGCCGTCATCTTCCATGCCCAATTCTTCCTCGGTCGAGTCCGAAGCCTTCACGGTACTGGTCGATGAGAGGTCGATGATAAATCCGTCGTGTTCCAGGGGGCTGACACGTCCACCACGGCGCGGTTACGCCGCCCGGGATTGCAGGCCATCCGTTGAGGCACCGGAGAGTGCGACTCCGCCTCACCGACGTCGGTCGCGAGGGCTGTCTCAGCCTCCCGCGCCCTCTGCGTCACACGGCAGGCACACCGCGCAATGCCCTCAACGGGCCATGGGTGGCCTCGTCGTCGGCACGCCAACGTAGGGGTTGCACGTCCACCACAACGTTCGGACGCCAGACGGAGCGCACCGCCTCCGGCGAGGCAAGGAAGACACGCCATTCGCCAGATCCACGCGCCATTTGGGCGGAGGTGATGGATTCTTGGCAGATCGAGTCCGACCGTGGTCAGGCATTCTCTTCGCGGGCGCGGCGAAGCGCAATGCGGACAACCATCTCCTCATCGGGCTCGACTGGGATGAGGTCTCGGTTAGTAGATCGGCTGACGGAGGACTCAGATCCGGTGCCCTCCATGCCCGAGAAGGCAGGAGTTCTCCAGATGTGAGCTTGGGGGCAGAGTGGAGTGGAGTGAAGTGGCTAGGGTCTGGTCCGCGGAGCAGATGGGGACAAATATATGTGGGGTCAGGGTGGGCCAGCATGGGCCGAATTAGACGTGGCGGACGCACCCGGTCGCCCTCAGGCCGCCCCAAATTTGGGCTAGATATGAGGGGTGCAGGTCGCGCGGGCTTTTGAGGCCGGTTTGAGGCGCCCGACCGAGGTCACTTTCTTTGATCAGTCACTGATCGGACCGTACTCAGGATGCTTGAGGGATGTTTGAGGCGCCTGGCTATAGATGCTCCGAGGACAACTCCAACGCGGTCCATCAAATGGACCGTGGAAATGTTTGGACGTATACGTGGACAGCTGTAGGGAATCCCACTATACAATCATACAAAAAAATGTTCTTCCCTTGGCCAATGAATAGACGGCGAGCCCTCAAGTCCAGGCTGGAGGAAGCGCATCCCCGGTTCGGGCATCAAGGGCTAGCTCAAGGGTGGCCACGTCCAAGGCTTTGCACATGATGGAGAAGGCCATGAAGCTCAAGGCTAGCAAAGGACTCCAAGGTATATGTTCCAAACCCATTACCCGATCCATGTCCTCTTTTAAGGTTTTAGCGCTTGCTTTGGATGCCCACTTGTTGAGAGTGGCTAAGGATAGTAACGTGATCTTGGGATCGGAGGAACGAACCCCGCTTGAGGTGTTGGAGGGCTTTCACGCCCAGGAGGCGGCTCAGGCAGCTATTGCGGAGGCTGTGGCTCGCCGTGACCTCGAGAGGACGGCCATGGCCGAGACCCGGGCACGCGAGGAGACTGGGACTGTCAGGGAGACGACAGGGCCAGCCGACCGTGCGGCCCCGCGTCATGGGCGAGGGAGGGGCCGGGGTGGTGGTCGTGGTCGCGGCCGTGGGCGCGGCAGCACCACCAGCATCCGGACGGAAGTACTGAATGAGGGGCAGGGGGCCGATCCCCCTCGGTGACACAATGAGGGGCCTGGTTTAGAACATTCGGCGGTTTGGGCAACTGGATCGAAGGCGGCAACTAATCGAGTACATTAGGGACCAACGCATTGACTTCTTGGGCCTGCAAGAAACGATTCGGTCGTTCTTCTCTCAAGTAGAGTTGGACTCGCTTGGTGGGACCATGGGTTTCCAGTGGGAGTGGGTCCCGGCGTCTGGCCGTTCGGGAGGCATCCTCCTTGGGGTTAACAGGGAGACTTTCGAAGTTCTATCATATTCGAGGGGCAACTTCTTCATTGGAGTGGAGATGATCCAACGAGATATTAACTTTAAGTGGGAATTAGTAGTGGTGTACGGACCGGCGGGCCACTCCAGGTCCCAGGACTTTTTGCGTGAATTACATGACAAAGTGCGTCAGTCGGCGAACCCTTTGGTCATAGCTGGAGACTTTAACCTTATTAGGTCAAGAGAGGATAAAAGCAACCAGGTTATTAATGATCAACATCTTCTAGGTGTGTTTAATGAGTGGGTGGCAGATTTGGAGCTTATTGAGCTGTAGGGGGTGGGAGCTCGCTTCACCTGGTCGAACAACCAGGAGAACCCAATCCGTAGCGTGTTAGATAAAGTGTTCGCTTCGACAGATTGGGAGGCGAAGTTTCCCGCATGCTCCCTCATTGCGGAAACGAGACTGGGATCAGACCATTGCCCTATCACCTTTTTGTCTAGGGAGCGAGTCCGACACATACCGAAACGGTTCTATTTCGAGAAGCAATGGTTACTCCAACCAGGCTTTGCTGAGAGGGTGACACACGTTTGGCAAGAAACCCGGGCCCGTAGACCTCACCGATATGGACCTCTCTGGGATCTTCTTGACGAGTGGCAACATTGCATCCGTCGTTTGAGACATCACCTGCGGGGGTGGGGGCAAATGTGGGGAGTCAATTATGTGACCGTAAAGCACGTCTCCTAGAGGAAATAGAGGCTCTGGACCAGCAGGTCGATAATAACGCCCTGTCTCCTGATGGGTAGGCAAGGAGATACAAGGCGGAGGCGGAAATGGTCTTCATCCTCGAGTGTGAAGAAATCTACTAGAAATAGAGAGGGCAACAAAAATGGGTTCTCAAAGGGGACGCGAGCACGGAATTTTTTCACGCTATTGCGAACGGGCGGAGACGTCGATGTAACATCCGGGTTCTGCGGGAGGGGGACCGGATCTTTTCCGAGGAGGGGGAATTACGTTCACACATTGATAACTTCTATAGACAGCTGCTAGGGTCCACCGACAGGGAGGGGGGCGCCCCGATTAGGGCCAAATATGTGGGGATAAGAGAGGAGAGTCTCGGCCGAAGACAACCAGGCACTCACACAGCCTTTCTCCTTTCAGGAGGTGACTAATAAACTGTGGGAGATGCGAGCCAACACGGCACCGGGACCCGATGGGTTTCCGGTGATTTTCTATTAAAAAAAATTTGGAACATAGTGGGACAACAGTTTTGTGGCCTGGTCCACGACTTCATGCTAGGTAGGATTGACATTAAGAGACTTAGTTATGGGGTGTTGACTCTTTTGCCAAAGGTCCAGGGGCGGACAACATTCAGCAATTTCGCCCGATCATGCTTATCAATGTAAGTTTTCGCCGGATGGCAAAAGGCTTCACAACCCGTCTGGCGACAGTAGCCAAGAAAAAAATTGATGAGAGCCAAACAACATTTATTCGGGGACGGAGCATCCTTGATGGGGTGGCGTTTCTGCATGAGGTGCTTCACGAACTTGAGGAAACTAAAGAGGAGGTGTTTATTCTCAAAATTGACTTTGAAAGGGCCTATGACAGAGTAAGATGGGAGTTTCTGGAGGAGGTGCTTAAGGCGAAGGGTTTTGAACCCCTATGGGTAAGTTGGATGCGACAGTTGGTGAGGGGGGGGGGGCAGACGGCCGTAAACATAAATGGGGAAGTGAAGCATTCTTTAGAAATAAAAGGGGGGTGCAGCAGGGAGACCGAATTTCGCCGCTTCTTTTCAATATCTTGGTCGATGCCCTTGCCTCCATCCTGGACAACGCCAAGGAAGCAGGTCATATCTCCGGTGTGGCGTCCGGGGTTATCCCTGGGGGCTTGTCCCATTTGCAAAACGCGGATGACACTCTCATATATATCAAGAATTCAGAGCGGGAGATATTGAACCTAAAATTCTTGTTAATGTGCTTTGAGGAGATGTCCGGCCTAAAGATAATTTTTGATAAAAGTGAGGCATTTGTCACGGGAGGTGATCTAGAATCACAACTAAGAGCGGCACACATGATGAACTGTGAATTAGGGTCCATCCCAATGAAATACCTGGGTATGCCTATATCATCACGAGCGTTATCGATGGGAGACTTCCAACTTGTAGTGGATACGACTGCGGCTAGGGTGGAGCCGTGGCAAGGCAAACTCCTTGCCTTGAGTGGAAGGCTAGTTCTCATAAATGATTGCCTCACAAATATCCTATGTTCATTATGGGTTTTTATCTCCTCCATGATAGTACTCACGCAAAGCTCGACAAAGGTGCGATCCCGCTTCTTTTGGGCAAAGGAGGATAGGAAACAAAAGTACCACATGGTCAGGTGGGATAAGATTTGTGAACCAAAGGAGGTGGGAGGACTAGGGGTTATAAACAGAAAGGTTATGAATTGGTGCCTCATGACTAAATGGGCGTGGAAGATACTAACAGGACAAGGGGGTCTGTGGCTCCAAATCTTCAGGACAAAATACCTAGACCAGGGGGGAATTAATTTCAGAAGGAATGTAAAATTATCCCAATTTGCGAGGGCGGTAAAGAAGGTTCAACCGCTCCTCCGGCTTGGGACATGGTTCGAGGTGCAGAATGGGAAGACCACACGCTTCTGGTCGGATATTTTGCGA